TTGAAGTATGGACATAAAAAATTTAAATGAACTATGAAAAGTATGTATCGTGTAATCCACAGAGCATGAATTATGGTAAACCATAAATTCCAGGCCAAATTCAGCCCACTACCTCTTTTTGTAAATAAAAGTTTATGGGAACATAGTTACACCTCAATAATTTATATATTGTCTTACTGTTTTTGTACCATAGCATCAGCTAGGTGTTGCAACAGACACTGTATGATCTGCAAAGCCCAACATACTAATTATATAGCCCTTAAGCTTACCAGTTCTGTCCGAGAGCAAACACAGAAAGAAGAGGAATTTAATGGGAAGAAATCAGTAGAAAAAGTGGAATACTAAATACCCAAGTAAAACCAAAGGTTAGAAAGTGGAGACAATGGCATTATAGCAGACCAAAGAGAAAATAACAAAATGTTAGAAACAAAGCCAAATATAATTAAATAGCCTAAGTACACCAGTTAAAAGACAAATTTCCAAACCTATTTTTCTTGAAAGATTTATTTATCCATACAGAACTGTGGTACAGGCCAGAGGGGCAGTGAGAGGCTTCACCAGAGACAGAGCAGGGAGCAGAACAGGCAGATCTTCGAAGCACACTGCTGAGGGGAGCAGCGGGCGGGTGAGGAGAGGTCTGTTGTGCTATGTGGTCACCTCTGGGGCAGGCGGGGATCGAACTCATGCTGAAGTGGCTTTAGCTTCTTAGTGCTGTGCTTTAACCAGCTGCACCACCAGGGAGGGCCCTCCAAACCTATTTTTAAAAGGAGATACAGCTTTATTCTTCAAGAAAATTGTTCTACTTATTTCTTAAGATTTATTTATTTATGCATACAAGAACTGGAATATGTCCAGAGGTCTGGGAGATGAAAAGATTCAGCTCACCAAAGACAAGAGTGGGGAGCAGAACAGGCAGATCACCTGAAATACACTGCTGAGGGGAACATTGGGCAGATCAGGAGAGGCCTGCCATGCCATGCGGATCACCTCCCCAGCTAGGAATCAAACTTGTGCTGCAGTGGCTGCAGATTGCTTCATAGGGCTGTGCTTTCACCCCCATTGTGCCACCAGAGAGGGCCAACAAAATCGTTTTAAAGTGTAACATAGATGGCAAACAAGAAAGAAGTGAAACTGAAAAAAAAAAAAAAAACCACCAAAGTTGATGTTTTAAAACTAAAACTGATCAATCTCTCCCCATACTGGCAGAAAAAAAGGCAAATTATCAATATCAAAAAAGGTGCTATCACTACATACCCCACAGACATTAAGAGGTTGTAGGGTCTCCCCTTGTGGCGCACTTTGAAGCTATCACAGCCACTGCAGCACGAGTTTGATTCCTGGCCAGGGAGCTGACCCACATGGTGCAGCTGACCTCTCCTGACCCTCCAGTTACTCCCCTCAGCAGTGTGTTTCAGTGTTCTGCTCCCCACTCTATCTCTGGTGAATCTTCTCACTCCCTGCACTTCTGGCCTGTGCCCCAGTTCTTGTATGTATAAATAAGTAAATCTTTTTTTTTTTTTTTTAAGTCACAAGCTAACAAAACTTACCCAGGGGAGATTGGAGATGTACAACTAAAAATCCTTTACAGTATAACTTAGAAAAAAGTTTTAGTGGACCCTCCCTGGTGATACAATGGGAGCACAACCACTCAGCACAAGTTTGATCCAGGGCAGGGGTCGACCCACATGGTACAAAAGACCTCTCCTGTCCTACCCACTGCTCCCCTCAGCAGTGTGCTTCATCAGTCTACCTGTTTTGCTTTCTATTGTCTCTGGTGAATCCTCTCACCACCCCTGCACCTCTGGTCTGTACCCCAGTTCTGTATGCATAAATAAATATTTTTTTAAAAGTCTTAGTTACCCGGCCCTCCCTGGTGGCGCAGCGGGTTAAAGCACTGCACTGAGAATCTAAAAGTCTTAGTTACCCTAGAATTAGGCAGAGTCCTTAGCAATGACACAAAAACATTATTCTTAAAAAGTGTGTAAAGTTGTAATACAGGGCCCTAACATGTGTCCATTATGGCAGTACCCAGTGGCAGTGTGAGCTGCGAGGAGCTGTCTGAATTCCTGGAATTACTCAAGATGATGAGGACAATTGATGACAGAAAAGTACATGAATGAAATGCAATGTTTCCAACAGCTTCCTTTACAGAGAAAATTGATGCCAGCCAAATTTGTAAACAACTTTATGAGTCTTTAATGGAGGCTCATACCAGTAAAGGCTGAGTTATAAAAAGGTTTTTAGCTTAGAATTCATCAGTAGTAAAAAAGCAAAACAAAAAACTTCTGAGAAGAGAGAAAAAATTATTTGGACAATTTAATATTATTAAAGCAGCTTGGAAAAGTACAAAGTTGATGTGGATGCAGTAAAACTGAAAGTTGAGGAATGGCAAATGACAGGAGCTGGAAGATGTTTAATGAATTCACTTCAAGCCTCCAAAGAATGAATAAGAGAATACTATTTTTAAAAGGACCGAGTCATCTCATAATAGCGCATCATGACAGACATCAACAAGGTGGGCTTTGTAGCCTGATTTTCAAGACCTTTTGTTGATTTCAAGACCACTTAACCTCAAGTCTAAATAATTATGTAGAAGTCAACTTCTATCTTATACTGATTCTGTAAAAAAAAAAAAGTTAAGAAGTGCTAAGTTGGCAGGGGGTTAAGTCACAGCACTATGAAGCGATCTCTAGCCAGTGGGGGATCTCGATCCCCCACCAGGGCTCGAGGGGGCACAGCAGCAGACCTCTCCTCTGTTGCTCACTGCTCCCCTCAGCAGTGTATTTCAGTACATCCGCCTGCTCTGCTCCCCACTCTGGTGAATCCTCTCAAACACCCTGCCCCCACCTCGCTGGCCTGTACCCTGGTTCTTGTATGCATAAAGAAATAAATCTTGTAAAAAGAGAATTAAAAACATGTTCAACCAAAAGTCTGTACATGAATGTTGATAGCAACTTTGTTCCTACAAAAAACGAAATAATTGGAATGTTTGTTGACAAGCGAATGGATAAATGAATGGATAATGCCGAAAAGAATAGTAGTCAGCAGTGAAATGGAGTGAACTGTTACTACGCCCAACATGAGTGAATCTGAGTGAAAAAGGCACTCTCAAAAGTTTAACACCTGTGATCTCATTCGAGGACACTAGTGAAACTACAGTAATAGAGCACAAATTGATGGTTGCCAAGGGTTAGGACTGGATAGGCTTAGAGGAGATGAAACTGTTATATATTTTTAAAATTTATTTATTTATGCATACAGAGCTGGGGTACAGCCAGGGGTGCAGGGGCAGTGAGAGGAATCACCAGAGAGTGGGGAGCAGAACAGGCAGATCGAGGAAATAACACTGCTGAGGGGAGCAGTGGGTAGGTCAGGAGAAGTCTGCTGCACCATGTGGGTCATCTCCAAGGTGGCGATTGAACTCATGCTGAAGTGGCTTTAGCTTCCTAGTGCTGTGCTTTAAGCACTAAGACTTTAAGCACTAAGACCTGCTGTGCCACCAGGGAGGGCCTGGAAGTGTTATTTCATTTATTTATTTATTTATTTATTTATTCATTCATTCATTCATTCATTCATTCATTCATACAAGAACTGCGGTACAGGCTAGAGGTGTGGGGGATAAGAAGATTCACCAGAGACAGAGTGGAGTAGAACAGAAAGATTCACTGAAACTGCTGAGGGGAACGGAAACAGTGGGTGAGACAGGAGCTCTGCTGTGCCATGTGGGTCACCACCCTGGCTGGGGATCATCCCAGGTGGCTGCAGACGGCTTCACAGTGCTGTGCTTTAACCCCTTGCACCACCAGGGAGGCCCTGTTGAGCTTTATAATACTCAGGAATTGGAAACAACCTGAGTACTCCACTGACTGATGATTGGCTAAAGATGTGGTATAGATACACAATGGAATACTAACTATTCTTATGAGAAAAAGATGAAATCCTGACATATGCATCAACATGGAAAGACCTGGAGGTCACCGTGTCTAGTAAAATCAACCAGACAGCAAAAGAAACACTATATGATTTCATTTATATATGGTATACATGAAGGCAACAGATGAACCAAATAAAGCAAAAAATAAATGTTTAGATTGTAAGACCAATTAGTAGTTACCAGAAGGGAAAAGAGGTAGGTAAATTGGGACAAAGAAAAGAATGGAACAGTGAAGAGAATGGAATTGAATTTAATGGAGTATACACACATGCTGATTTTCCATGATGCGTACCTGAATGTTATTTCACACACTCAGCTACTGGCATCCATCATGTTAACACGATGCTATTGCTTGGGTAATTTTTAATATAAATTTTAAAATAGCAAACCACCAAGGAGCACTGTATTTAAAGGTGAACCATTCTGTATAACATATTAGCATTATATATATATCAATCAGGATTTGAGTCCTGGCTGTTGGTATCCTGGTAGGTAGCTGCATGAGGTTGAACAAGTCACCTGTTTCTGCAGTAGTAAAGTAGGAGCGGGGGAGGAGGTGTTGGAGATTTGTAATTGTTGCTAAGCTACATTGGAATCCTCTCTAATCCTGAGATTCTGCTTTAGTGGGTCTAGGTAGGTGATTCTGACCTGCTGCGGCATTTGGCCACATCCAGAGAAGGGGATCTGTAAGGCTTCTTTCTACTCCAAACTTACTTGTATCATATGCAGGTTTACTTACATTGAGAACCAAGTGTATTGGGAGTCAGCTTCTGTCCTTCCCTGCCACATTGCCAGTGAGTCTGTAATTCCCCCATCCCCACCCCTACAAGTCTCACCAGTGTTTCCAAAGAACCTGTATTTATTTACTCTCATCTAACCCTTTCCCACCTCAGGATCACCTTGACCAAGTTACTGTTGATCCCTCTTTTATTATTATCATTTTTAAGATTTATTTATTTATGCACACAAGAGCTGGGTTGCAGGCCAGAGGTGTGGGGAGTGAGAGGATTCACCAGAGACAGAGTGGGGAGCAGAACAGGCAGATCTACTGAAATATACCACCGAGAGGAACAGCAGGAGAGACAGGACAGGTCCGCTGCACCACATGGATCAGCCTCCAGGCTGGTGGATTGATTTCAAGCAATCGTGATAGCGCTGAGACTGCAGCCCTACATCACCAGGAGCTGTCCCCCCTTTTAGATGTCATCCCACCACTGTGTCCCTATCCTGTGCTCCCTGCTCTCCCATCCTCCAGCTTCATGTGTCCAAGTGTCCCAGCCTCAGGCTTTGAGATGGTTGGCTGCCTGGCAGAAGAGCACTGAGATTTTTGAAAACTGTCCTGAACCTGCAAGGTCTCCAGGTGATAGGTGACAGAGAAGAGCATGATGGGATGGGTGCTTGGAGAAGTCAAGAGCAGCGCCTTGATTCCCCTCCAAAAGGTAAGTTTTCAGGAAAGAAAATAACAATAAAGGCAGAGAAAGGGTGAGGTACTGAATGTTGACCCAGCTCATGCCAGGGACAGTGTGCAAGGGGAGGATCTGAGTCTAGAACGGGGAGCACTACCTACTTCCTACCTCCCTAAAGATGTAGTTTTAAGGCCAGATATGGAGACGGGGACATCTCAGTGCCCTTTGCACTATGCCAACCCCCTAAGGTGCCATGCCAGTCCCAGGACTCATGGGTGGGGTCCCAAGCCCCAGGGATCAGCCTTAGGGGCTCGAACTACATAGCTCTTCTCTCCCTGTGCCTGCAGTCTCTGGTGTTTTCTTTTTTATTTTTTTCCATCATTCTTCATTTTGTGCATTTTTCCATTTCAGTTGTAATCCCCATGGGCTTCCCACCACCAGTTCACCCATGTGCTACCACTACAGTCCCATGCTCTCTTCCCACCCCAGTTCTGATCCCATTCCCCTCCCACCCCCATAAAATGTCTCTGGCTTATAGTTGTTCATTGTTCTCATTTTTACTTTATTATATTTGGTGTTCTTTCTTATTTCAGTGCCTCCCTCTGGTACTGCAGCCTTACCTGGCTCCCACCTGCCCTAACATGGCTAAGAGAATGGTGAAGGCTGCTTTCTTCTTGTGCATAGTCCAACTGGAATGGCCTGAGACAGAATCCTTGCCTCACTTCTCCATCAGCCCCTGCAGACTCATTCCCAGGGCTTGGAGCACAAGAGCAGGACAGGTATGTGAAGTTAAGTGGGCCTGGAATATGTGGGGTGGGAGACTGGGAATACTGAGATTACTGTGGATTAGCCTCTGGCGATTTATGATTTGAGCATTGGTGTTACTGAGACCTGAGACCCTTTGTCACAATATAAGGGAAGAATTCCAAACAGGGCTGGATCAGAGTAGCCCCAAAGATTTGTTTTTACTTGTTGGTGCATCACGTTGATACTTGATGCGGGTGAAAGGTGTTGTTTGTAGCTGGAAGAAAGAAGGGCTGAAGGGTGACTCAAGGCCAGCATGATACTTCCGGGTTGTGTCTGCAGGTATTTCAGTCTGAGGATGGAATGGGGGTTGAGGCCCCTGGATGCACAGCAAGGCAGGGAGAGTGACTGGGGAGAAACCGGCATTTATAGCCCAAATGCTTTCTCCCTACTAATTTATTTCTCACCATCCTGGGGTCTGAATCTGTCACCATGCCCACCAGCGCCTACATCGACCCACTTTACAAAATAGGAAGTGGATGTTGAGGGATTAAGAGTCTTTCTCAGAGTCATAGCTAAGTGCTGTGGCTAAGCCTTGCTCATGCCAGTCTGTATTCCCAATTTTGCTCCTCTGTATAATTCTGTTTCTTGCCAAGTATCTGTCTCTTCCAACCTGTAATTTTGTGGGATGTTGGGAATAATCTGAGTGAGTCTGAGCATGTCCTCTGGATAGCTGTTGGGCCAGGGACTGAAGGGGCGGCGTTTGTGAACTGAGGCTGGGCCAGATTGGAGAGCTAAGAAAATGTCAGGCTCCTCCTGAGTTCTGCACCAACCTCATACCCAGCACTGGCTCACAGCACAGTGGGCTGGTTCTTGAGCGCCTCACACCATGCAGCTAACACCTCACATCCCACAGTATCCCTGCTGAGAACCAGTCACAAGCCCAAGAAGTGCGTGCTGAGCTGATGGGTGGTGCTCACCCAAGAGCAGGGAGCAAGGGTGAAAATTATCATGTCTGAAAACCAGGGCCCAGAAGGAAGAGCTTGTAAAACATCCAACTGATTCAACTACATTGAAACCAGGGCAACCCTTGCCCCACCCCAGCTTCTACTCAGAACTACAGCAGGAACTTGGGCAACAAAATTGAAGTCCAGGTGTAGGGATTGGCCACAGATTTTGTATGTGGAGAGGACCTCCATAGCTGAGGTCCAGAAGTGCGTGACTACTCAAGACCGTGACTACTCAAGACCATAGTGGCAGGAGCCTCTGGGATCCCTCAGCCCTGGGGCTTTTCACTGAGGCCTCCTCAGGAGTAAATACTCCACTCCCAGCCGAAGGCAACATGCTGTTACTGTTGCGCAAAGCACAGACAGCCCTTGCAGCTAAGGGCTGTGGAGGCCGAGTTCCATCTATAATTCAGCAGCCCAGGTGGAGAGGAATGATCTATGCCCATCTGCCTCTGGGGCTTCCAGACGGTCAAAACGGGGTTGGTTTCCTTAATCCTGGCCATGCAGCTTCAGCCACCCTATTTAATGAGTCAGTACCTGCCCTAGACTGGAAGTTAGTGCTGGGCTATTGAGCTCAACTTCTATTTCTCTGCTCACTGGACAAACCTCTTGGATCTACTTCTTTATCAATGACCTGGGCAAAATCCTTCCTTCCCTGAAGGACCTGGAGAGTTAAATGTTTTGCCTTTGATTCACCAACTGAAAAGAACTGAAGGTTTCTATAAAGAGGAACGTGTCATCAGATTCTCACAAGCATTTACCATCATGAAATACGCTCCCAGGAGGAACAGTGTGACCCACTTGGCTGAGCCAGGTCAAACAGGAGTGAACATCTTAAGAAACTTGAGCACCTCGGGCCCTGCTACTACTGCTCAGGTTCCAGCCTAGTTTTTTTCTCTGGTCTCCTTCCCTGGGCTCAAGTTCTCAACTGTGGGTCTGAAGAATGGTGCTGACCCTAGAGTCCTTCCCCCTCCAAGGCGCTCATAAGCTTATTTGGGTTTCTTCCTGCTCTGCACAAGGATCACCCTCCATAGTACAGGGGAAAACTGCCCAGACCAGGGTGGCCAATTCCTCAGGCACAATGATACATGCCCCTGAAGCAAGAGGCTGCAGAGGTGAGGGGCAGGGCCTGCAAGACAACTGCTGACATTCTGTGCCGTCAGTCCAGCCTAGCCGAGTTTTGCTGCTCCTCACCTGAGGTGTTCTGACAGGCCCACAGGCATCACCAGTCAGGGGCTGGGCTTGAATTTGAGTTAAAAAAGTCACAGAAGAAAAGTGACTAGGAGACAGAAGGATTGAACAGGAAAAAGATCAAAGTAAGGACCAGAATCCCACAAGGGTCTTGGCCCCTCCTTGATGGCTCAGGGGTTAAAGAAACAGCGCTATTAAGATATAGCCAGCCACCGCAGCACGAGTTCAATCCCCAGCCAGGGATCTGACCCACATGGCACAGTTGACCTATCTCACCGTGGATCCCCTCAGCAGCATGTCTCAGTCAATCTGCCTATTCTGCTCCCCACTCTGTCTGGTGAATCCTCTCACCACCCTGAAACTCTGGCCTGTGCCCTAGTTCTTGTATGCATAAATAAATAAATCTTTTAAAAAATAAAGAATGGGCCCTCCCTGGTGGCGCAGCGGGTTAAAGCACAGCACTGAGAATCTAAAGCCACTTCCTCATGAGTTCGATTCCCGCCTGCCCCGGAGGCGACCACATGGCGCGGCAGACCTCTCCTGACCCGCCCGCTGCTCCCCTCAGCAGTGTACTTTGTCAATCTGCCTGTTCTGCTCCCCGCTCTGTCTCTGGTGAATTCTCTCACCCTCCGCATCTCTGGCCTGTACCCCAGTTCTGTACAGATAAATAAATAAATTTAAAAAAATAAATAAATAAAATAAAGAATGAATCCTACTTGCTTTTTTCCATTCTCCTTTATTCCATAAACACCTAGTTACAAGTTGCACAAATCAAAAAATAAAGGCAGAGAAGGGTGTAGGGGAGATTTCTGTGATGTGTAGGGGTTGGGAGGGAGAAAGTGGGAATCAGCCCTCTCTCTCCACACAAAGCCCTGTATGAGGGATCTGAGGAGGAGAAAAACTCTAGGGTAGCTAAGGGAGGGCAGAGGCCCCTAAACCCAGAGTTCACCCCAAATGCCCATCAATGCATGGCAGGGGTAGAGCCGGGGAGGTGAGGAGGCTCAGAGATGGAGCAGCAAATGAAAACTCAAGTTAGCGGATACAGGAGAAGTGGTGTCATGGTGGTAAGGGGTTAAAGAAGGAAAAGGAGGTGAAGGAGGCAGTGAAAGGTTCTCCCCGAGACCCCCAGGGAGCGGCGGGCGGGCGCCAGCTTGCCTGTTAATTTAATAATCGATTGGGAGTGGGAGTTGGAGGGGAAAAGTTATTTCAGGGGATGATTTCTTAGCCTTTCAGCCTGTACCTGCAAGAGGGAGAAAGAGGAGCATGTCAAAAAGAACACAGAATATAAAAGCCAGGAGCTGGGGGTTAGTCCCCTCTTTCCCACACCAACTGCAACTTACACCATCAAAGGCAGTATCTGCTGGGCAGCTGGACAGCCCCTGCCTTGTGGCAGAGGTTCACTCCGCCCCTCCCATGTTTGACACCTTGTAATTCTTCCCCCTAATACTTACAAGAGAGGCTGGGGGCCTAGGGCCCTCACCAGTCATAACGACGGGACTGTCGGGAGGGGGAGTCCTCAGGTCCCTGTATGGCCAGGCGTGGAGGACCCTCAGCCCTTCGTCCCCCACCGCCTGAGGCCTCATGCCGGCGAAATTCCAGGGGGCGCTGCTGCCGGAATCGGGAGGTCTCCCTCCTCCACTCGTCATCAAATGCGGCAGCCTCACCTGAAGAGGAAGGAGATTAGACAAGACACCAGTGTAGGGTTTGGCTTCTGCAGACAGACGCCGAGGGGGTGGTCACAACCTCCTAAGACCGAAAATCAGGGGGCGAGAATGAAAGAGTGTTTTAGGGGAGGGCAGCAATTTGAGCTAGGTGAAAGAAATCAGGAATGGCATAACTGTTTTATTAAGGATAACAGTCTCGTACATAAGGTAGCTTAATATTTGATTTGGGAAAAAATATAGAGAAAAAGCAACAAAAAAACAAAAACCAGCCCAGATGGAGAAGGGTTGACGACTACCAATATCTGACTGAGGGCACTAAGTTTGCCCCTCTGGGGTGAGGACACAGCCAGCACCTAATTGAAACCCTAAACTGACAGACTAAGTGAGAGTGTGGGCTTCACCCCTAACTCTGCCCAAGAGATAACTGAGGAGCTTTCTACTTGCTGGTGGGCAGGCTACTGCTCACTTCATGAAGCATTTAATAAGACCAATTAGATTTCAAAAAAAAGAGAAAAAATACATCTAAGAGGTAGGGAGAGAAAGCTGTTGTCTCCTAGGTCACAGCACTAGAGTAGGGGCTGCTGGTCAGGAAGCCGGGAGGGTGATGGGCGGGAAGGCAGGCTCACTCTCATCCAGGTTGATATAGTCCTGCCGCTCCTCCTGGTCCCCAGTGCGGTGGTTTCGGGAGCGCTGGAGGATGTGGGCCCGATCCCGGATGTGATGCCCAATGGACATCTGTTCTAGTCCGCTGTCTGAGTCCCGTACAGTCCGCCGAGTCTCCCGGATCTGGGATGTGGCAAACACGGCAGGCTTAGCTGCCCATGCCAAAGCTCTGGCTACACCAGCCCAAGACAGACAAACTACCCACCACCTGATCCTGAAAAAAGGCCAGGGTCTCTGGGGATGCCATTCAAAATCCTGTCTTCCCAGCATGGTAAAGTCCTCTGACTCACCCCGCCTGGTGCCGAGCGCATTTCTGATGTCTCCTGGTAGACCTTGGGGGCACCATCACCCGTATTGGAATAGGAGATGACAGTGGAAGATGAAAAGGTCTGGCAATTGCCTCCAGCTGTCATGTGTTCCTGAGGAGGGAAAGGGACAGCAGGACTGAAAGGGGAGGCTTCCCCTCTGGAAGAGGGATCCCGTCCTTCAGCAGCCTATAGCTTTCTCACAAAATGCAAGAACAGGGAGAATATCACAACTCAGGGTTACCTTACAAATTTCTGAGTCCAGTTATAAACAAGAACCTTAAGAGATCGAGCCTTCATTGCATGAGTGTCCCTGTGGCTTCACGCTCAGGCATGAGAGGAGACAGCGAGTACTCTCGATTCATTCCTCCGTCCGGTTTGCGCCTCCGCTAGCCCCCTCTTCCCCACTCCCGCCTCAGAGGCCCCACGGTGCCACCAGCCATCACACCGAGACCAAGGCCAGGGGAGGGTACAGGGCGAGCCTCACCATGTTCCCGATCATGTCGTTCATCATCCCAAACATGTCCATGAAGCCACCCGACTGGAGCAAAGAGATGGAGCAGAGTCAGGCTCAGAGAGGGTCGCATGCAGGGACCTTAGGTGCCCCCTGGCCACACGGCTCCCACGGCCTTTCTTGGCTTCCTTGGCATCTAGCAACTTCTGCTAGATGCTGCTTCTCATCCTTCAGTAACATTAGCCGAACTCTTCAGTAACTGGGTTTCTCCTGTACGCGGCCGCCCTCCCACCAGCTGCCACTGCCACTCTGCCACCTTTCCTTCTCCTGACTGTCCTATTTCCTCCCGTCTTTAAGAAGCAAGCCACGTCAAGGGATGCTAGCCTAGAAAGGAGTTAGCCATAAAACTGTAAGAAATGTAAAAACGGTTTAGTTGTTTCTTCAACTGCACTTCCTTCCTCAAAAGAACCAACTCTACTAGGCAACTGCTGCCCTCGTGGACAGTACAGCTCCTAGAAGTACAGGAGCGAGCATCTTAACTCGGCACTCAGCTGTGAACACTACAGAGAGGCTCTCGGGTTACCCCAGGCTATTCCAGGTGGACACATTTGGAAGTAACAAGGTTGCAGCGTGTGTCTGAGATGAAGAACACAAAGAGGTGCGGACTCACCATGCCCAGCATCCCGAAGGGAGAAACAGCCCCAGCCTACAGGAACACAGAGGAACAGAAATTACAGGCCAGATCCTCTCATGGCAGTTCCAATGCAGGCCCCTGGCCTCAGCTTTCTGTCCCTCTTCTCCAAAAGGGGATCACACCCAGCTCCTTTTCCCAGATCCCTTCTCCCACTCCTAAGAGTCTGTTCCACTTAAGTTGGCTGTGGCACAAGAGAACGCAAGCCTTTTCCTAACCACCCTCCAACCTTTCTTTGGGCTCAGGTATGCTGCACCATTACCTGCATCCTGCGGCTGGCAGGCCTGGTCCCTGGCATGTTGCCATCTGTGATGCTGAGGAAGGGGCTGTATCCAAAGCCACCTGACAACATACGGTTCATATGCTGACGGTGAATAGCAAAGGGGTCCCTGTGGAGTGAGCATACAGGATGGATGGCAGAAGGGCCCAGCAGGCAAAGTCCTAGCGAAACAATGGCACAGAAGCCTACTTCCCCTGGAAGTGCAAGCTGGAGCCCAGGATCCAGCCAGTTCCAACCAGCGCCAGCAACAGGAACCCAGCTGTCTGTCTGAGCTACTCCCCGACCCAAAGCAGAGTGGGATGAACGCTCTAGAGCACGAGGGGGAGGGAATACTCACATCAGGAACATGGGATCCTCGGGCTCCACGTCTCTCATGAAGCGAAACATCCTGAGTTTAGCTCCAGGGGGCTCCACACTGGAAAGACGTGGAGGCTCAGAGGCTCGGAGGCAGCCCGGCTTTTTGCACACCCGCTCAGTGTTAGGACTCTCGGATCAGCGCCCCTTCTAAATATTGTACCTGACGCCCCAAACTCTGGACGGACCCCTGTTCAGGTGTTCAATACTCCCCTCCAGTGGGAACTGCGCTTCAACCTCAAAGAGGTCCAAGGAAAAAATTTCCCAGCCTCTCAGTTTTCTGCCTCCCCCACTCAGAACCATCCTCACCCCAAAGCCCCCAGGTCAGAAGCCGACTTCCCCCTCCCCCGACGTCACAGTTCCGGAGGCGAGTCCCAAGTGCGGGCCCTCCGCCCCATTAATGACCCCGGCCACCCCGCCCCCTCCTTACACCCAGCGCCACCAGGCCACCCCCGGCCGGGCCTCACCATCCCCCTCAGCGTCGGCCGCCGGCATCCCAAGCGCCGGCCTCCCAGCCCCGCGGGCGAGAGCGGCAGGCCGGACTCTCTCCCCTCCCGGCATCCCAGGCTCCAGATGCTGCAGCCCCGCGGCCCGCTCCCGCCCCGGCTGCCCGCTGTGCTCGAGCCTCACCGGTCCCCGATTCTGGCTCAGCGGCCCATCCGGCCGGTCTCGCCTGTCGGTGCGCTGCAGGAGCAGGGGTTGCGGCCCGGGAAGCGGGATTGGTCGGGGCTGGAGCTTCTCGGCCTCGCGCGCCGCCTCCTCCCACAGCTGCCACCTCCGTCCCCCCCCTCGGCCCAAGGAGCCCGAACCTCGGCCAGGCCCGGACGGAAGTGACGTCACGACGGGACAGCCCACCGGGGGCGGGCCCGCCGAGCTGCTCCCACTGGCGGGCGTGGGGAGAAGGCCCGGCCCGGGCCCTGGGGCGGCGGGGTGCGGCGGGCAGGCGTCCCCCGACAGCGCGCCCCGTCCTGTGGTGTGAGGGGGTCTCCTTTCTCATCTCTGACGTGCCTTCCGCGGCGTGTCCGGAGACCAGTCCTGGAGTTTGTGGGTGTCCTTAGCCACAGGAACATCCCGTTTGGCCTAAGAGGCCACTTTGGGGGTCATTACTGCTGAGGCCCTAAGTCTACTTGGCCGTTTCTAGAATTTTCAGCCTCTGGATGCTGGCTGCCCAGCCCAGCCCTAACCTCAAGGGGTACCTGTGTTTTCTGCCTCTGCCTCGCTGCGCAGTTACCGGGTGGGGGGGTGTCGGGTCTGCACCCCACGCGCGGCGATGAGGACTCAGAGTGGGGAGCGGAGCCGCGGGCCGCGGGGAGGGG